ATGCTCGCTTCTTCACTGTGAGGCTGGTCCATCTAAACCAGCTGATAATCCTCCTATCATCATGTCCAACAGGTCAGTATCTTTCCGTAAAAGTTTAAAAAACAATCCAGTGGACTTGGTTTCCAAGATTTGGAGACGTTTCGCCACCTCTCCAGGAAGCTTTCTCTATTCAAACGTCTGGATCCGCAGTGAGTTTCCTACGGATCCAGACATTTGAATTGAGAAAGCTTCCTGGAGAGGTGGAGGCGAAACGTCTTCAAATCTTGGAAACCAAGTCCACTGGATTGTTTTTTAAACTTTTACGGAATGACTATGACCTGGATGACTGAGAATCTTCATCAGCATACAGGTCAGTATCATCTTTGAACACTAACTTCTTCCCATGTTCTCATATGCCAAGGCTGCTTTCTTTTCACAGTTGAGCAGTAGATTGTAGACATGCATTATTACCCACAGCTTGTCTTCCTGGTGAATCATCAAACCTGACTTGTGTGGAAATAGTCTGCTGATCTGCCTCCTTTTCTTTTGGTTTAGTTTGTATTAGTTAGAATCAAAGGACACAATGAGGGGGATAAAATATGCTCCTCAGCACACAGACCCATGCACATTAACAGACCAAAAATAAGGAATATTTAAAGAAATTGTTTCCATTATTTATCAAGGTGGAATAAATGTGATTTTGTTTAATCATTAAGATTTAACTTATAAAAGCTCAAATTCTTGAACAAAGCATCAAGGTCACAGCTACTTGTGTTAAATAAAAAGGAATGGATTCATATTCCACTGCATTATAGTAAGTATTGGAGTTTTATAATGTAAATAGCTTTATTGTCCCACAATGGAGAAATTCGTTCTCTGCTTTTATCCCATCCCCTGTTGGAGCAGTGGGCTGCCATTTTGTTGCGCCCAGGGAGCAGTGTGGGGTTAAGGGTCTTGTTCAGGGACCCAGGGTGGAGGCTGTGGGGATCAAACCAGGTACTTGCAACCTTCTAAGATCACAAGCGCACTGCTCTAACCACTAGGCCAACACACTTTGCTATTTTGAAATTTAAAAAGTTGTCATGATGAGTTGTGTTTAGAATATTGTACTGCGCATTTTATTGTCTTTATGCACATTTCATATATGAGGGCCCTGGTTTTCAGCAGAGCTTTGTAACCTGGAAGGAAGAAAAAGAATCAAGACACCAAAAAAGTGGAAAAATTATTGAAAATTAATAACTAATATTTTTTCTATAGAGAACAATCTTTTATTTCCTGGTGGATCATCTAAATAAGTGGTTCTCGTAACTGTCAATCATTCTGGTGATGTAACGTCGTCCCCCGTGCTCGTCCCGTTAGCTATCTTTTTCTGTGCATGCTCACTTTCAGGCGTGTATCTGTGGTGAGCTACGGTTTCAGACAGTCATTGAAGCTCACTTTTCTCACCGCGGTTTTTCGAAAATAGCCGAGGGTCGTAAGACAAAAAGTATCTACAAAGTGTATGAGAAGAAAAAAAAGGCCTCAGAAGAGGCAGACATATCCCAGAATGCTTTGTGCGGAGAGCTCCCCTCGCAAAGCATTATGGGATTTGCAGTCAAAGCAGCCCACTGTTGCCATAGGCTGTCGCAACCAGTGTTGTATAAAGTGTTGAACTCTCAGAGTCAATTAAAAGTATAAGTACCTCTCCAAAATATGACTTTGGTAAAAGTCCAAGTCACTGACTGAAATGTATAAAGTCTTAAAGTATCTGAAATGGCTTGTACTTAAGTATAAGAATTACTGTAAAAATAGATGTACTCAAGCAATGTAGTGAAAAGTATAAGTAAAAAGTAGTGCAGTTTGAATGATATTTTTAACATTTTGGTAAACTTTGAAGGTAAAATTCACTTAAAATAATATAAACAACCAAGTGTAGGATAAATTTAGACTGGCTTTGCGAAACAGGCGTATCCTGTTGGTGTTGATGAACGAGCCCAGGCAAGACCCCACTTTGTAGTCAGTAGGTGGGGTCAAAACACTTGTGTTTCTCTCGCTCTCGCTGTTTTTTTTTTCTTTTTCTTTTTACTTAGTAACTAAACCAAACATTGAAAATGTATCGGAGTAAAAGTATGCAATTAAGTTTGTAAATGTAGTGAAGTAAAAGTTCTCAAAAAAATGTAAACTCTTGGAAAGTATAAAGTACTCCAAAATATACTTAAGTACAGTAGTGAAGTATTTTTACTTCGTTACTATACAACACTGGTCGCAACCCGACAGTGGCGAATAACAACAGAGATGGCGCAGGCACCGTGCAGCGGAGGAGGAGTTATATGACCAACGGGGAGCAAAAAGCAGTGATCATTTGTCTGAACGTTCAGCTAACTGAGTTCACTATAAAATCCACTATATAGTCTCCACTCAATACAGTGATGGAGGGATTTAGGGGTTAGGGCGGACGTTCGGACACAGTAAGCTTGTAATGAACTATGAGAACAGCAACTTTTAAAGAGAGGAGAAATGGGCTCGTGCACGCTCTCGCACGCCTGTAATAGGTGTTCCCTCTCGGTAGTGGGTACAGGGTTGTGTATGTGCATTTTTTTTTTAAGTGGAGAGGGCAGGTCTTTTAAAAAATTCACAAAAATCCTACACTATACCTTTAAAGACTGAAATACTAATTTAAAAAATGACATTTGGGTTGGATTTCTTTTTTCTGCTGGTCAGATACACAAAGCAGAAATAAGGCAAAAATAACTCCATGCTTCTGTACATCTAGTATATTGAAAATGAGACAAACATCAGAATTTACTAAATTAATGAAAAAAAAAAACTTAGATATAATTGACTTTTGTTCTGTACCTAATGTGTGATTGTTTCCCCAGAAGACAAAAACAGATGTTTCTGTAGGATTGATTTGAGTGGTTAGAAGGACATCCATCTGAGAGTCTCCGTCGTAATCTCCAGGAACTACGCCGGTTATAACAGCATTCCTGGAAAATGAAACAAGTTTAATGAAACAATGGCTGAAAGGGAAATGTACCAAATAAAAATAAAAAGTTATTATACAGCAGAAACAAAATTAAATGCATTACTTAGTCACACTTAGCTCTCAAAAACCACCTGCTAAAAATATAAATACATTATTTTAGAATATTTACTTTGGGAAAACATCCTTGGAGATGTTAACTTTGGGTTTGAAGTAAGGAGATGTGGAGTCAGCCAAGAAAATCACCAGTTCAGACTCTGGGAAAAAAAATGAAAGAAAAGAACCATATTAAATTTACGGAAGAGGATTAGGGCCACTGAAAAAAAAAAAACTTAAAAGATTTTAAAATTTTATTTTAATTTAACATGGGAAAAAAGTCAGAATTCTGACTTTTTTCTCAGAATTGTGGATCTTAATGTAGATGGGCACCATGAAGGAAGAGATGTGGAGCACTCAGCTTCACTGACAAAGATGGGAGTTGTTTAAGAGGGCCAGTGACACATTGGTGGAAAATGACTGAATTAGGCAACTTTTTACGTGCCCGAGGGGTTGCCTCATTAATGGAGGAGCAGAAGGTCATTAAAACAAGAGAGCTAGTCTGTAAAACAGACATGCCTATGGCTTGATGCTAACATGTTTGTTACCTGTCAGAATTCTGAGATTAAAGTCAGAATTCAGAGAAAAAGGTCAGAATTCAGAGATTAAAGTCAGAATTCAGAGATTAAAGTCAGAATTCAGAGATTAAAGTCACAATTCAGAGATTAAAGTCACAATTCAGAGAAAAAAGTCAGAATTCAGAGAAAAAAGTCAGAATTCAGAGAAAAAAGTCAGAATTCTGAGAAAAAAGTCAGAATTCTGAGATTAAAGTCAGAATTCTGAGAAAAAGGTCAGAATTCTGACTTTTTTCCCCATGTTAAACTGGAATAAAATTTAAAAATCAGTTAACTTTTTTTTTTTTTCAGTGGCCCTAATCCTCTTCCGTATAAATTAGACATATTAACCACAAAAACAAAAACATTTCAATCTAACTTTGGGTATGAATTAAAAGCTTGTGTGACAGTAACCACTTTTATATAAAAACATGTCTTTCTTTATCTTTTCTGCTTTTCATATTATTTTTTTCCTATGTTGAAAATATTGTACATCTGATGCAATTTCTGTCTCGTGAAGAAACCCAGGTGAGCTTAATTAACTCTTTAACAGCTCAATGACGTCACTTTATGTTTTAAATGTTGTGTTTTTACTCCTGTAATAAAAAAGTAACGTTTAAGTAAACAATGAAGTTTGTTTAACAAGCGACAGAGACAGAGGGAATGTGGTTCATACACCATTTATTAGCAAATAAAAAAATAAATAAAAACAAAACCCTAGCCGATGACTTATTTTATATATTTAGATTTATCTGCTGTAGGCTCTGGAGACACTAAGCACTACTTACGGTCTCTGATGATGAAGATGTCAGTCTGTTTATCCGAGTTAAAGTCGCCAAACGCCGCCACCTTCCCATACTTAGCGCTCCCAAAAAGCTCCGCGGTTACATCTTGGAGGGCAAAGACATTTCTTTTCCCCAATAAAAGCAAAAAATAGGGCAAAGCGTTTAATGTAAACAGCCACATCCTGCTACAATTGCTCCACAACATCAACCGATCGGAATACGGCATAGCGCTTTACGGCTGGGATCAACATAAACGTCTTATAAATGCAACAGCGATAAAAGTCAGAAATTCTTAATATTTTTCTTTTTTGTTTTTACTATTACAATAAATGTAAAGTATTTTAAAATTAATATGTAATTCGTTCAAATGGGTTGTTGTGTTATTTACGTTAATGTCGCAAAAACTGATTTCATGACAGATGACAGGTGCTTAAAGCTGGAGGATAGGACAAGAGGAAGTGTCACAATCGTTCTTCAAAGTAAGTGCATGTCTTTTTTAAAAACACTTTAAAATATGCCCCCCACGTTTTTTAGACTTGACTATACTTTACTCTCATTGTTTTTTGCTTTCCCTAAATTGTGAAAACATGATTTATTCTTATTTTGCTGAGAACCCCCGGCGAAGTTGTTTTATTTTGAAGAGCACAAAGCACACCGGCTGTTAAATTGCGGGGACTTTGACTGAGCGTAAACATGGCGACCCTCGCTGATGTCGGATGGAAACTCCTGGAATTTAAAGCTCGATCAAAGAGATCAGGTTTGCCTCGTTGGTTCGCATCTTGTCTCGTTGTTTGGCTCGTGTGCGGTGCCGCAGCTCACGCGTGGAAATCTGCCGCGTGGGTCCTTAAAAGGCCTCCGATCTGTTCTTGTAACCTGTTCCTGGCTGTGATGGCAGGAACAGGAAAGGTCAGGGGTCTTCATGTACCAAGCCTAGGCGCTATTTTAGGAGCTTTACCGCGGGTCTCGGTTCGCTGGGACTCTTCAGCATTATACCATGTTATTGTGTTACCATGTTAGGATTTAATCTCGTTTATAATCACCACTGGGGCCTTTAAAATCCCCAAGGTTGTTTATGTTTAAACTCAGCAGGTAGGAATGTAAGAATTAAGACATATTTTCTTCTCTTATTGGAAGAAACATAGACCTAAAAGGCAAAATGAGCAAAAAGCTGCTTATTGTTATTGCAAAATGACTTAAATGAGGCCAGCTTATAGAAAGCCTCTCAAGCGCTTTAATTCATCAGCAGCAGTAATTGATTTAATTGCATAGTTAATGTCATCTTTAATAATTGCGTTGCCATTGCAGAATAGCCTAGACTGTAATTTATGTAGTTCTCCAAATGATCTCTATAAAAGTATTCATACCCCTCAAACTTTTCATCTTAAATTCACGTCAGTGTTTGTTTTTTTTTTACTGGATTTTGGTGACAGACCAGAAGGAAGTAATTGAAAGACAGAAATGATTCATGGATTTTACAGGATACTATTCAGAACAACTTTTGTGTCTTTTAAAGTCTGTAATGGCTTTTTTTTTTTTTTTTGCAAATTCTGAGACTGAAATTCATCAACATTCTCACTTGCAAAATGACTCTTGCTCAGTCAGAAAGGAGACTAGTCTGATTTTTGATCTTGATATTGACTGGGCTATTCCTAACAGATGGATATCTAAAACATTTAGTTGTAGCTTTGGATCTACCCAGCAGGTTTCCTTTAAAGATTTTCCTGTATTTGGCTCCATCCATCTGTGTAGCAACTGTGATCATTATCCTCTTCTTATGCATATGGCTGCCACCACCGTGTTTTGCCATGGTATAGTATAGTTAAAGTGGCAGAGTTTTTTGTTCACACCATCAGGATATCTCCATCTAATCTAATCAGCTCCCATTCTTCTTCATCGTCCACATGTTTGTTATGTTTTTTTTACACGTCTTGGTTGCTTCTCTAAAGCAATGATTCCCAATCGGGGGTACGCGTACCCCTAGTGGTCAGCGAGTGCATAGAAAGAGGTACATGAAAATATTTTATTTCTTAGGTAGTAAAATAAAATAGGGCTGGGATGTGTTTTCCTTTCTGAGGACCCAATTGAAAAACAAGCTTTTATCAACCAAAAAATAAGATTTTTTAATGTGTTTGAGTTAACCTTCAGCTTTGACACACATCCAAACCAAACAGAGGAACAGTCTAGAGAACAAGCAATTAATTTATCAGCTGTTTTTCACACTGATCTTTCGGAGATGATCAAAGTAGCTCGACTTTCTTGATGAAAATAAAACTAAGTCAGTCGGACTATAATTTTTGTTCTTAATTTTTTCCCCAATTCATCAAGTTTAAATGTGATTATAAGGGAGTTACTCAGAGGAGCTGCAGTTTTATAAATACAGCTTTACAATAAGATTTTGTATTTATTTGGATTCCTCACTAACTTCCAGGCAACATATTTATGTTGTTTGTTTTGTTTGTTTAGATGGAAATAATAAAATGCCTAAGAGTTAAATTCTCAAATGAAAAGATTAAGTAAAATATTTTTTATTTTATAATCAGTTATTGTACGTTCCACTTTTGGACAATCATCAATACTTTTGGCTGGTAAGACAAAATGTCCAAAGGGGAACAGAAGTCAAAAAAGGTTGGGAACCACTGCTCCAACGCATCCATCTGATCAACATTAAGTATAAAGTTTGAGGGTTTGTTAATGTTAACAAACCATCCATTTGATTTTATCTACTGCTTTATCCCCTGACCCGGCCTGTTGTGATCCTCAGTCTTCATGTGTTGTTTTTGTTCCTTATAGGATTCATTTGTTCTCTAAATAAACCCCAACAGTTAGCACTTTAGAAAACTGCTGCAAATATACTGAGACTGGTTTTATTCAAAGCATGCTAAGGATTTTTTTACCTGAGGAAAAAAAAATATCTGGAAACATTTTCACAAGATTGCCTTCCTTGGTGTCGTCTGCCACATAATATTCCAATTAAAAAAACAACATATTCCTTAAAACAAATAATAAAGTGTAAAAATATCAGTGGGTATGAATACTTTTGTAAGTCATTACAATATGTGCTGTGATCCTTTGCATGTTGTTCATGATCATTGCCTCTGCTCTGAATGTAATTCATTATTGATTCATGCTTGTGTCGAATCTAACTCTGTGCTACTAACTGCTTCCTGTGAATTGCCTTAGATTTCTGATTTAGCTGAGAGAGAGAAAGAAAGGGAGACGTTTGGCCTTAAGTTCACCTTTTGAGCATGGCTCTCTCAGTGGCTGCAGTTGCCCAGCCCCATCATGAAGTTCTCAGACTCGGTAAGTAGCAGCGGGGTTACAGCTCAGCACTATGCCCAAAGCACAAGGGTCAAGAACTGGATTCAGATTTTATTTTATTTTAAGAGTTTTGGAGGTTTTCCATGATTAGCCTATTTAATAGTAACATTAATTAGGTTCATTTTTTCTCAGTATCAGTTATACAGTTTATACCATATGCTCTATTTACGTCTTAACACAGAAGTTGGAGGTGGAAATGATGGAAACTGCACTACCAGGCTGCAAAACTTGCTAATCGCCGTGATCAGTGACTAGGTTGACTGCTAACTGCGTACAAGCCTTTAGCAGCACACGTATGATGATTTAATGAAGATGCGCATTGAGAGAAATTAAGCCAACTGTTCCCGGCTGCAGCTGTTACTGCATTTAATGGCCGCGTCATGCAAGCTTCACTTAATACGGCCCATCATTTTCTACTAAAGAGCTCCCATAGATGCTGCAGGTATGCCGAGATAAGCGGCCTTTTATCGGACTTCTGGTAAAGTTTCTACACCTGAAGTCCAGGTGTTCTTCCTGTTTCATCTCACTGCAGCAGGACACATCCGGTGCGCAGCAAAGGTCCCAACCTACAGTATGAGCATCAGTTAACTTGCTAAGCTACATTGCTGTCCTGTTGCAGGAGCCATATTGGGTTATTTTTTATAACGTAGTAGAAAAACGCACCTTAATTTTTTTTTTTTTTTATCTAAGGAGGTGCTTCTTCTTTAAACCCTTTAATCTAGCAGGACAGAAGGTCTATAAATTTCACAACAAATTCTAAGTAAAGATGCAAAATTGAGTATTGTTTTATTCATCAGCCCAAGAGTTTTCACAGGTAATGAAAGAACATTTATTTTTATTCTTGATATTTGTTTCTAGAGTTTGTTGAAATCAGCCTTTTTGGAAAGACTGATTTATGGAAGCCGTCCAAGCTGTAGCTGTTTTAGCTGTAAGCTTTATTTATCCTGTGATAGATTCGGTTCCTCCCCTCCAATCACTGCAGGATCCTGAAACTTATAGTTAGCCTCTAGTGGTTTCCATAGGTAAACTTTAGGGATGCACGATATAATCGGCCCCCTATCGGTATCGGCCTTAAAACTGAATATCGGACATCGGCCACCCCACCGATATTTAACCCGATATTTGATCAGCTTCTGAGTTTCTAAAGTCTAAAAAAAATAAAATAATTCTACTTCTTCTTCTTCCTCAAAAACTTCTTTTTTACAGACTTAAAAACTTCTAAAGACGAGGGAAAAAATATTGATACATTAAAATATCTCAATATCTTCATATGCTGATATATTGCCATTTAAAAACACCATATCAATCTCTTTTACTAATGAAATATTGCTATATGTCATCGTTATGCTACGAAATCCCCCGAAAATTCACGAAATGTTGCCATATTTTTATATGTTGATATATTGACGCGGTATCGATCTATTTTACTAACAAAATCTCACAAGAATTTGCAAAATATCACGAGAGTTTGTAACAGAACGATGAAATTTCACGAGATTTTGAAAGTAAAATAGATCGATACCGCGTTTTTAAAAATCAATTTGATATCGGCATATGAAAATATATCTGAGTATATTATTTTTCAAAGTGTCAGAAATGGATAACAAAACTGCTATTTTCAATGACTACTTATTTTTGTCCAGCTTTAACATCGGTATCGATATCGGTTATCGGCTACATGAGTTTTAAAATATCGGCATATCGGATATCGGCCAAAATCCCAATATCGTGCATCCCTAGTAAACTTTGCCATAGAGCTGTTTAAAACTAGTTAAACAGGTCTGGCTTACATTTTCTGTTCTTATTTAAAAGGCTTTTTTTTTTTTTTTACTTATCTTGAAAATGGGAAGGATTAGGTTTTTGTTCCCTGCAATTTTTAAGCTGATGGAAATTATGCTAATTTGAGTTAAGAATGTGATTTTTTTTTTTTTTTAGTGGGCTACCTGTGGTATTGACCCAAGGTCAAACTTGTTAAAATGCAAATCTAACAAAGAGCAAAGTGTGTAAAATAGCAGGTTCCCTCTGAAACCTGCTCTCTCTCAGCGAAACGCCCAGTTCACTGTTACATTATTCTGCAAATTTCTCGCTCTCGCTCTGCCTGTTATGGTTTTTATCCGAGCCTTTTGTGATGCAGTATGTTGCAGTGAAAATTATTCTCCTGCTGCTTGTTGTTTGTGGTAAACTGAAATATTCCACACAGTTAAATAGGTAAAACTTACTGAGGAAATGAGACCACATTTTACTACTAGCAGCACACAGTTTCAGTTTTTGTGTGTGTAATAAATTTGTCCCCCATAGGTTCCATCTATGAACCTATGAAGCTCTCCAGTCTCCAGCGGGACGATGAGCCGCTATGGGAGAAACTGGATCGTTACTACAATGCAGGTAAGTCCACTCCTTCCATTGGTGGACCTTAAATTGCTTTTAGTTAGTTTGTCGGGCTGCACCTGCCAATTGTTTTTGTGAGACATTTATTTATTAATTATGATTTTTTTTAGTAAATCTAAAAAATGATTCTGGTAGAGAAATCGTATTTAAATGTCAAATCATTCTGGCTTAAACATGTATATAAATGTACTCTATATCAGACCATATTATCCTAAAATTTAGAAAAAAAAATATATTTTTTAAAAATTCTATCTTAAAATCTGTGATTTTTTTCTGTTATCTTCTGCAGGCCAGTTAGTTCTACGTCAGCCTGAACACCTAAATTCGGCCAATCATATATCAACGGTCATCTGTCAATCAAACATTTTTGGTCATAGCATCTTGATTCATATGTCGCAGCTAATATACACAACGGTTGAAATCAGAAATAAGAATAATTTCCTTTCACATTGAGTTCCGTCCCAGTGTTCATGGGGATAACAAAAAAACCCCAAAGATTTTAAAACTTTTGGGACACTATAGTCTGATAAAGAGTACATTTATATACATGTTTAAGCCAGAATGATTTGACATTTAAATATGATTTCCCTACGACTTTAACATCTCCATTCTGTGTCCTGCAACCATGCCGATCTACATAAAAAAGAAAAAAGAATTGTGTTGATAATTTGCTGGCTTCTGATGGAAAATACATCAAATATCGCCCTCCAGAATTACTATCTATGAGGAGTGGCGGCCTAGTGGTTAGGGCATAGCACTCCATCCCACCTGCCATTATTTGCTCTTTATTCCTTATTTCTGTTCTCATCTTTTTGTAATATATGGCATATAAATTGCTTAATTGCACAAACTCCTTAATCAAAGGGAGTGTCTCGATTGTCAAGTTCATAGAGTTCGATCCCCTACTCCCACAGACTTCCACTCTGGGTCCCTGAGCAAGACCCCACACTGCTCCCCGGGGGCCGCAGCCCAACTGCTTCCAACGGGATGGGTTAAATGTTCTTGTGACAGCGGAATGACAATAAAGTTGAATTCTATTCTATGTTTAGAATAGAATTCAACGCTGCTTGTGAGGCCAATCTATCCTCTACTGTTAATGCAGGAAGTTGTTAGCCTCGTGAGACCATCCTGATCCCGCGAGCTTTCAAGGTTTCACTCGCAGATCAGTCTGGAGACTCTCCGTTAAAGAAAATTTGGAGCCGTTCACCAAACGAACATCCAATCAGCGTTGGCTTTGAGGCGGGTTGAGGTGTGACGCAACGAGAAGCGCGACAGTTCAGTCTAAAGAACATGGCGGCTACAGCCGATGAAACTAGCGTTAGCGTGGCTATCGAGCAAGTTTTATGGGAATTACAGAGTATTTCTTCACTGAAAGGAGAGCAAAACACTGCTCTGGAGGCTTTTCTCAGAGGAAAAGATGTTTTTGCTCTTCTCACGACTGGTTTCGGCAAGAGTAGCCTGGCTTGTGGTTGTGTTTTCGTCGTCGCTCTGTTAGTACGTCATATGCTTCATTGATCTGATTGGTTTATTTGGCCCGTCTATCACCAACATGGGCCAATCAGCTAACCAGTATTTTCGTCCCTTCCCAAAATTACTTCAACGGAAGGTTTCCAGATGGATATGTGGAGCAAATCCATCTGGCGGAGTCAGGTTAGGAAGTTGTATGTAGTTGCATTTAATGTGCTCACACACACACGGAGAACAATCTAATTTCAAAAAGAAATAAGAAAGGAAAAATCAGGTCTTCATTGTGAACAAATCCAAACTGGAAGAAAACTTGCTTCCTTTCATCCATGACAGTGAGGTTTGTAAAGGTTTACTACTAAATATATTTTGTCGTTGCTAGTTGGAGCATAGGATTTAGTAATATTGTTGAAGACTGCTAGCTAGATTAATTCGGACACAGGAGGTCCTCGTTCACATTCGCAGTCATTGGGGCTGATCAAAGATACATTATGGAGGAGATGCAGGTCTGTTCGCAACTTTTATCTCACCTCTATTCACCATATATGGTCTGGGTATCCAAAAAAAGTTCCTTCAATCCCAGAAGGACACAAAGGTGATGATGGATATCTGTAAGAGCCCAGTGCAGGTGATAATTCTAGGATATGTAATCAGTAGGCTGCAGCACTACTGCAGGAGACATAAATACACATTAGCACTGATTGCTGAATTACTAGCAGCTGGGAGAGCAGCTCTGTAGCAGCAGCAGTAGCTCCCTGCGCTCACAGATAATGCCACACAGATAGTGTCCTCTGCTTCTCTGCTCATTTAGGTTTCCCTCTTTGGACCGAAATTGAATCTGAATAATAAAAAAAAGATTAACACATAACTACGCATAGATCTGTGATAGAGTTTGTGTTTAGTAGAGATTGTGGATGACTTCTGTTAGAGGTAATGAAAATGATAAAGAATGTGGAGCCGGTGATCTGACCAAAGATAAACTGGAACATTTGAAACAGTAACCTGGTCTCATATTTTCACTGAGCTGATGCATTTAAAACAAATGCTTTTTATTCATCTTATTGGTTTGTTTTAAAAATCAGTCGATATGTGTGACGGGAGGATGATCTGTGTCAACATGAAACAGAACGTTCCGACCACAGATTACAGCTATCAGAGCTGCATGTTTTTCCTTCTTTTTTCTTATGATATCCAACTAGACCCCCCACCCCCTTATACACACGCTTTTATTTCTAACTAAAATCAATGCAACTAGCAGCAGATGCAAAGAGCAGCAGGGGGAACAAGTCGAGCTCAGCACTTCCTGCAGCCTGCTAGCGCTACAGTAGGATTTAGTATTCAGCACAGAGGACCTTGTGTTTCCCTCGGGTTTATGTGGCTGTTAGGTTCTGATATTACAGAACGTGTCGTCCCTGAGGGCCGGCACTGATGTTACTACTCTGGCCATAAACTGCACTTTTCTTTGGTAAAGTCATTCAGTAGGGAGAAGTTCTGTGTGCAGAATGACAGTATCCTGTATCATATCTACGTTTTTCCATTGATCTCCTTGTAATTGTATAGAAAATAAGCCCAACTGTGAAGGATTTGAATGACTTTTTCTCCCTCGGGAATACTTTATGTATTTATTTTATTTATTTATTTGTTTAATTTAACAAGGACAGTACAATTAAACATTGCAACCAAACAGGTGGCCGATGTCCAAGTACATAAGGCTTGTAGCCATGGGCTAATTTGCAGCCTTCCTCCCTGGTTAGGCTTTTTAAACGGAGACCGCAACTCCCGTACACCCCCTCTCACACCGCCCTTTTGACTATGGTGCGGCTCTGCGGCTCCGGCAACAGGTCCGGAGATTTAACTCGCGAGAACAGAAGTTCGCTTGAGTTCACGTAACTTCACGCGATAACACGGCCCAAATAAGGATATTTGCGAGAGCTTGATGCGGAGGGCTCCGGCACGCCGCAAGGATAGCTTTCTTGCGGAATCTTCTGCAGCGCCGGAGTGTCTCGGTAACCGCAGCCGGTGAGAGAGGTTTACGTCTTTTTAATGACTTGGAATCACTGCGGCGCCGCACCCACCGCACCGGACCGGAGTCGGTGTGAGCAAGGGGTTAAAGGTCTTAGCATTAAGGGGGGGGGAGGTTAGTAACGACACACAGATGCATTAAAAAAAAAAACAAGAGAAGTTAAAACAAAAAAAATATGAATAAATAAAATAGGCTTAATTTCTTGTTGATTCTTGCTATATGCTCTGTTCGAAATCCTGGGGTGCGTCCATAGAAGGCCAGATTCGAAGGACAATTACGTCATAGCGCTGCGCCGAGGTCTGGTCGGATTCCAAGACTCCTCGTTATGCGACCTTAAAATGCGTCCTTCTTTTAACCTGATTTGAAGGACGGGTCCGATGTATCCTTGGTTTACCCAGGATTCACTGCCAGACCAAGCAAGCCGTGATCAGAGAAAAGGTTACTTGGCGCGGAAAAGTGGTGAAAATTGGAAGTTCAGTTCAAATCCTGTTTGATGGAGATTCACTGATTTCCTTGATTTGGTCCAATCGATGATCAAGGAGTTTTTCAATAGTAAATAGTTTTTCTTTTCTTTTATTTTTAGTGCAATTCTCTAAGAATTTATGTTCTCTTTTGGGAAAAAAGATCAGTTAAATACAGAAGCAATATAATATGTGAGATTCTGGATACATTTGTAAGCATGGCAGCTGTAAGTAATAAAGTGTGTGATTAGCACTAGGATGTAGTAAAGCTGAAACGACAGTAAAATGCTGCTTTTCTACTCTTTAAGCTTTGAATTGTCTGAATTGCATCCATTGCTCTTTACTAAGTGCATCAATTACCATAGTTTTTTTTAAAGAGTTAATTTAAAGAAGAGCTTTGTTGTGCCCTGTGGATACTATATAGTTCCAACCTAACGAGGAGTTTTCATTAGTTTCTCAAAGAGCAACTAATTTCTCTTTGTGCAGCTGAACTGGTCGTCCTTGCAAATGTTTTAAAGCACATGTGAAGAACTACATCACTTATACGTCAACATTAATCATTTCCCTTAATATGCATTTGTTGTAGCTGCTGGCAAAGTTACTGTCGGACTGACGATCAAAACTAAATTGTAAAACAAGGGCAAACAACTTAATCCTGCAGTAAAATTAGAACTGGACCATTGAGATTCTAAGAGAGGCTGTTGAGGAGTGCAGAGATGGCCGAGTCTATTAAGTGCCCTTGTAGATGCTAGCTGAGGGGGGGACGCATAAACAACTTTAGCTCTGACACATCGGGTAAAAGGAGCCAGTCTCAAGACTGTCTGAGAGCAAAAGTGACATAATAGAGAGGTGATAGTAGCTCTTATTTATTAAGGAAAAGTAGGTGATGATTTGTGTATTTCAGTTTTTCCATCTGTCTTGTTCTTGTTCGAGCTGTTTTTGATTGTTAATTTGGAATGTGTGAGATGGTTAGTAAGTAGATGTATAATGCAGACATAAAAGGTTGATAAAGTGTTGCACTCAGGTTTATTTCTACACCTTATTAATCT